TCGTGTTTTTTTTTTTTTTTTTTTTTTTTTTTTTTTTTGGGGCTTCAGAATGAAGTGGACAGGCTTCATAACTTTTTATATTTCATGTGTAACATCATTACTTAATATCTTCTTTGAACCACTTCTTCTTAAAACTTAAGCTTTAGATAAGGCCACATGCATATCATCTGAATTCTCTTTACAACACGACCCCTCATGTATAGGTAGGTTTCATTTTTTTGAGCATCAAACTCCGGTAGTGCACAATTTCATTAAATGGGGGGCTACCCAATCCCCTTGCTGTTCTAGTACCATGTTGAATCAATTGATCTAAAATTTAAATAGTCTTTTCACCAATCGAATTATGGACATTGGTTCCATAGTTGTTCCTTTTAAGGTCATATATGGCAATGAATAATCTCAATAGTTTTGTGCATAAAGTTCACTTATACCATTGTATTGGAGATATTGCTCGTGGTACAAATGTATGTTGATGTTTGGTTATATTTTTTATGGTGCTTGATAATCTGTTTGTCATTGTAGGGATGGGATTGCTGGATGCAGTGAAGAGGCTTATAAGAGTCTTTCAGTAAATGATGGTTGACAAATGCTGCTGAAGTTTTTATTTTTGACGAGCGCAAAACAAGGAATTCAAGCGAAAACCTTAAGAACACGAAATTTGAAATCCACTAAATTATAAAGGAAATAAATTCACGATTTTTATTAATGAATGATAATGAAAATAATGAAATAACCCTTTATTTATAAGGGTTTACATGAAAATGTAGTTTAAAACAATTAAAATTAATAAAAACAAAGTATAAACAAACTAAGAATGCAAAAAAATAAAAAAAATAAAAATCCTAAATAAACTAAATAACAAAAATAATGCCAAAACTTTAAAAATTAATTTTCAAGTCCTAAACGAACTCGAATGGTCGAAATCCATCGTATGTCACAACATAGCATTGAGTATTACTCGTCTCGTCATCCTCTTTTTGGAAAAGTTTTATGGGTCAATTCTCGGTTTCGGATGTTTTCCCTCTATTAGTACTTTTTCCAAATATTTCCTACATCAAATTTTTTGACCAAGACTCAGTTAAATATAAAGAGGAGGTATCGAATTTCTTGATGCTTAAATTGTTCTTCTGCATGGAAGATTTCAAAATTCTTATTAGGATGAGAATTGTTGAGATTTAAAAATAGAATGTTGGCTGAATTTCTTTTCGGACTTCGATGTAGATTTTTTAGATTATGTTTTATAGAAAGTAATTTTTTAGAGAACGTGTAGTTACTGATGCTTACAAGCTCGGAATGCTTAGCTGATGAGTAGGCTTGTTGAGTTGAAATTCAAAACTTGTCGTTTTGAAGCATATATTTTTATGCTTAATTACAAGTGACGACAGCAGTGTGGTGGAAAAAAGAAAGGGATAAGCTTAGTTCCAGATTTGAGAAATCGCTAGATCGACTTGTATTCCGTCCGTCATCATTTGATCCATTTGCCATTGAAAGCCAGCATTGAGGAGGGCAGACAAACTGATCCACTGAACATCAAGTGGAGAAAGCCGAGTCAATAAGTACCATTTCTTCTTCTCTTTCATCCAGGAGTTTGCTAAATCGTGTTAAGCGATCAATCACATAAACTTGTCACGTGAACACCCTCTTAGTACTTACACACATCATATACACATATTCAATGACGATGCTTACAAAGTGCCTCGAACTATTGTTTTTCATGTCAACAGTTTGACACAAAGATTCTTTTGTGTACAGATTTTATAATTGTCTCTTTTTTGTGATTCATTCTTAGCACTTCTTCATTTTATTAATTATAACCCCGTTTCCCATAGAATAGCTATAGAGTATTTAAATTAACGGAGAACAAAGAGTAATTGACAATGTTCAACAACCCTCAAAAATATTCAAACCAAAATGTAGCTAGGATGTTAATAATCGACTGTTCAAATTTTATTCAATTTTTCTTATAGGAGGATGGATCATAGGTTAATTCAATCACCATCAGAATGGACCTACCATATCCAAAAAAGAATTAATTTTCATGGATTCTGTCTTATATAAATTATAATTCTCTGTACTACATCAATATAAATTAAAATTACTTTATAATTTGTAAAATAACAGAGATTACACAAAAAATAATACAATTGGGTGAAACTACTTTTCGTGATATCAGTGATTACGTTGAAAGTTAACGAGTGAGAGTTAATTGTTTCAACGGTCATTGAACTTAGTTCATGTCTTTGATTGATCACTGAAACTTAAAATGTCAAGTTTTAATTACTGAATTCATATTAATATCTTCGATTGCTCATTGAATATTAAAATGTTGAGTTTTGACCACTGAACTTTGAAAAATGTTGTACATTACTCACTATAAACTCGATATTTTTCAAAATTCAATATTTATGCTAGTGAATAATGTAAGACATTTTTCAAAGTTGAGTGGCCAAAACTGGATATTTTAAATTTCGGTGAGTAATCGAAGACATGAACTTAAGTTCAATGACCATTGGAACAATTAATTCACCGAGTTATAGTTGATAGAAGAGGGTGAGCAATTTGAAGTAATTTTTCCAATGGACACTGAACTTAAGCACATGTCTTTGATTGGTCACTGAAATTTAAAATATCAAGTTTTGATTACTAAACTTAAGTCCATGTATTCGATTACTCACTGAAATTTAAAATGTCGAGTTTTGGCTACAAAACTTTGAAAAATATTGTATATTACTCACTATAAACTCGATATTTTTCAAAATTCAGCATCTATGCTAATGAGTAACGTACTGTATTTTTCAAAGTTTACTGACCAAAACTCGACATTTTAAATTTCGGTGAGCAATTGAAGACATAAGCCTAAGTTTAGTGATCAAAATTCAGTATTTTAAACTTCAGTGATCAATCAAAGCCATGAATCTAAATTTAGTAACCATTGAAATAATTAACTCGAGCAATTTTGTAACCAATCGATCCCAAAAGCATATGTTGGATTGGATGGGGGAGAAGATAAAAAAGAACAAATTTTTATCCATATCAAGAACAAGTTGCAAATAGCAGCAGCAATAAGATCGTAGCTAATGGAATTTGGGAATCTCCTCGGTCCCCATTTTACAATTATCAATTTCGATCCTCTTCCTTGACCTCTCATTCTCTCCCCTCCACATAACCAGCACAAAATGAAAGATGAAAGTTTTCCTCCTGGAATTTTCTCTCAATCAGGAGAAGAAACTCACCGTTAAAGAAATTATTACGCACTACGGCGGAGCCGACCATGGATTTGGATCTCGACCTCGATTCTTTCTGGCCGTCGGATCAGATCTTTGCGGCGGGGAATTCCTCGTCCCCGTTTCTGTTCTCAAACCCAGAGCAGCCTTGCACGCCTCTCTGGTCCTTTTCCGACGAGAAGTCGCCCGGAGCTCCAGCTGGTAGTTTTCGGCTATCGGACTGCTCCAGAAGTCTTTCCTTTATGACTTCATCTTGCTTAGAACGTTGTATGTAATTAATATATTGAGTTTATTCATTTCACTTTCTGTAGTCAACTCTCTCCTGTCTGACGAAAAATTCAAGCTTTGTGAAAATTTTAGAGGGAGCGTTAGCGTCATCATAATTGTATTCGTTCAGTCTCAGCTTTATCAATGATTGAAAAAAATAGCAATGAAGAAAAAACTTGTCATTTCTGAAACTTGGAATTTAAAATGTAACTCTATACTCCAAACTGCTGATCAATTCTTTCCCTTGTATTAGTAAACAAACTGTTGGAAAGTTACGTTAAACGGGGAAGTTCTGTTTTAATTTCAGCAAATGCTAATTTAGAATTAGAAAGACAAAAATTGGAAATAAAATGTTTCTCTGTGTGCTGTCGCCTCATTGTTTTTTGGCTTATTGTTCTCCACTGATAAAAGTGTATATGAAACAGAGTCTAGTTTTCCTGAAGTAGCACTTGCTATTTATAGAGTCATTGACGATATGTTATTTCATTATTAAATCCGGTGAATTGACATTTACTTGCATGTTGGTTATTTGGACTGATGCAGGTAATCCTGATGCGACGACTCAAAGTTTACTGGGAAACGATGAAAAAGGGAAACTTCCATCTCCATTAGAAGGACTTCTGCCAATCGATAAACCGGATGGAACATGTATAATCAAGGAGAGGATGACACAGGCTCTTCGGTACTTCAAAGATTTGACTGAACAGCACGTCTTAGCCCAGGTTTGGGCACCCGTAAAGGCTGGTGGTAGGTATGTTCTGACGACTTCAGAGCAACCCTTTGTTCTGGACCCAAATAGTAATGGGCTTCATCAGTATAGGCTGGTTTCTTTGATGTATATGTTTTCTGTGGATGGAGATACTGATGTCCTTGGACTTCCGGGTCGAGTTTTTCGGCAAAAGATGCCAGAATGGACTCCCAATGTCCAGTATTATTCTAGCAAAGAGTTTTCGCGATTAAACCATGCTCTGCATTACAATGTCCGGGGAACCTTGGCGTTGCCTGTATTTGAGCCTTCTGGTCAGTCTTGCATTGGTGTAGTTGAGCTTATAATGACTTCCCAAAAGATTAACTATGCTCCTGAAGTTGATAAAGTATGCAAAGCACTTGAGGTTGGTTATTTCCCTCTCCTAATACATTTATTATTTTAACTTCATTTGATATTCATCATAGCTGCGCAATTCGAATCTACAAATGTTCGTAGAAATTGTCTGCTTGTCTACTTATTTGTAGATTCTTCTCTTCGCTAATATAATTGATTTGATTCACGCCTACATAGTTGATACATAGCTGTTGAGTGCACCAAGATGTAATCTTCTTATTGCTTATGCATCAATGCTAGAAATGGTTGTCATGAATGTCTCCAGGCCCCAACATTGATTTCGAATTAGTCACTGTGGCCATCCTTCAATGCATAATTAGCCTGTTAGCCATAAAATATTCTTTGAAATTTCTTCTTACTTACAGTTAGAACTTTCAAGAATGGTACCACATTTTTTCTCAATGTAATTTATAACTCACTACTTTACTGTTGTTTTAGGATTGCTAATCACCATGATATCATGCTTGCTTGAGAGTTGTGTACTTTTAAAGATTTACTTCCTCATGGAGTTTCATCTATAGATGTGCAAAGGATTATTTTCTTGTTTTTGACCTCCAAAATAGCTTTCAGCTGAGCATGAATTCCTCTTTATTTCTCGAACTTGGAGTAGTATAGCAACTCTGTGTTCATGTGGTTTCTTATGCTTCTGTGGTCATTGATTCCAACTGTTTGAGGATTTATTAGTTACATAAATTCAGTTTCTCTGCAGGCTGTAAATCTGAAAAGTTCAGAGATCTTGGATCACCAAAGCACACAGGTAAGTTGCAACTACTTAGTGAAGATCCTATCAATTATGATTTATTTTTTCTTTTCTCTGATGAAACCTGCGTACGTGCTATCCTGTAAATTAGATATGCAATGAAGGTCGACAGAATGCACTGGCGGAAATCTTGGAAATACTGACTGTGGTATGTGAAACTCACACATTACCTCTGGCTCAAACATGGGTTCCATGTAGGCATCGCAGCGTCCTAGCAGATGGTGGGGGTTTTAAGAAAACTTGCAGTAGCTTTGATGGAAGCTGCATGGGACAGGTTTGTATGTCTACAACAGATGTAGCATTTTATGTAGTGGATGCTCACATGTGGGGTTTTCGTGATGCTTGTGCTGAGCATCACTTGCAGAAGGGGCAGGGTGTTACTGGGAGGGCATTTGCATCACATAACTCATGTTTCTGCCCAGATATAACAGAATTTTGCAAAACAGAGTACCCCTTGGTACATTATGCACGGATGTTTGGGTTGAAAAGCAGCTTTGCTATTTGTCTAAGGAGCACACATACGGAAAATGATGACTATGTTCTAGAATTTTTTCTGCCCCCAAACATCATAGTTTACAGAGACCAGCAAATCATTTTGGAATCAATTTTTGAGACAATGAAACGGCATTTTGGGAGCCTGAGGGTTGCTTCAGGAAAAGACCTAGAACATGAGCGGCAATCTACTGAGTTTATCAAGGCATCCACGAGTGAAAAACTTACCTCAAGGCCAGAGCTAGCTTCAATGTCTCCTCCCTGGCTTGATTGCTTACCAAATGGAGAGAAAGTTGAACCTGATTTGCTGGAACAGCAGCCATTAATCCCAGGATTTGCTGCTAACAGTGGTAAAGGAAGTGTTTGTAGCACTGCTGAAGTTCAAAATGCTGCATCTGTTGCGGACAATAAAGACATGGGCAAGAAACCAGAGAAAAGACGGGGCAAGGCAGAGAAAACAATTAGTTTAGAAGTTCTGCAGCAATATTTTTCTGGTAGTCTTAAGGATGCTGCAAAGAGTCTTGGTGGTAAGCTTATGCTGTCATACCTGTTGCTTTGCGAATTACCGCCTTTATTTCCTTTTTAGCTTTGTTTGAGTCCCTTTTGATTGTAGGAATAGTAATTCGATGAAGTACTTCTCATCAAGGTTTTTTGCTTTTACAGTTTGTCCTACTACAATGAAGCGCATCTGTAGGCAGCATGGGATATCCCGATGGCCCTCTCGTAAGATAAACAAAGTTAATCGTTCTATTTCGAAGCTAAAGCATGTAATTCAATCCGTGCAAGGTGCTGAAGGAGGATTTAATTTGACTGCTTTGGCTACGAATTCAGTTCCTGTTGCTGTTGGTTCAATTTCTTGGCCACCAAGTGCCGATAAATCAAATCTACAAACTTCACCTGGCTGTGGGCCATCTGAATTTCAGCAAGATAAGAATGAAGTTCCCATTTGCAAGTCACCTGCAGGTGATGAACAGGCCGAGACCTCCAATTGCATTCCAAGAGGCAGATTTTTAGGAACTGAGGATCTCATTCCTCAAGGAACTGGGCTTCTCTCAGGTGAAGGCTTAAACCCATCCAAAAGTGGCATAAGAGAAGAGAGAACAGGTACCCCTACTTCCAAAGGTTCATGTCAATGTAGCCCTTGCCTGGGTAATAGTGTTTCACCTATTGATGAAAGGTGCATAAATGTAGAGGGATCACCAGAATTTCCATGTCAGCAAATCAGAGAAATTAATTTATCAGCTGCGTTTCCAATCCCCGATGCTTTTGTTATGGTTCCCCAAAAGCCCTTTGGAGGGATGCTAATTGAGGACTCAGGGAGCTCGCATGATCTGAAAACTTTGTGCTCTCCTAGTGAAGCTCTGTTTGATGAACATGCCCCAGAAAACAGTTGGACAAGACCACTATGTCCTGAAATGCCGCAAACTTCGATCAGGTCGGATGTGAAAACAATCACCATAAAAGCCACATATAGAGATGATATAATCAGGTTTCGACTTTGTCTGGACCAGAGTATTATAAAGTTAAAGGAAGAAGTAGCAAAGAGGCTGAAGTTAGAGCTGGGCACTTTTGATATTAAGTATCTAGACGACTATCATGAGTGGGTTCTAATAGCTTGTGATGCAGACTTGCAGGAATGCATTGATATTTCGAGATCAACTGGTGGAAATATAATCAGACTCTGTGTGCATGATATTACGGCCAATCTGGGGAGCTCATGTGAGAGCTCCGGCGGATGAGGATAGGACTACGTGTACCTGGTAAACTATAGAACATTCTTACTTCGTTAGGACGATTCAAGTGTTGTAGAATATTCTTGCATTGTTAGGATGATTCAAGTGCAAGTGTAAATTTGTTTATTTGACAGCTGAGTTTTCACAAAATTTTCTGTTGTAATTGTTAAATTTAGCCCTGGTAAAAATATATCTTATTTTTCTCTCATGATGAGTCTGTGGATCTACGATCCTCGAGTCTATTTTATGAATCTAATATGCAATGTTTTGAATAGCGTTTTTGAGACGCGCTTAGGGCAAGGCAAATCAAAAATGCCTCGAGCTGTTCAGGCAAAGTGAGCATCCTTGAGGTGAATGCTTTTTCTCTTGGAGCGTAGCATGAGGCACATCTTTACAACACCTCTATCCTGGGGAAGCCGCCCCGTGGATTCTGAGACGTTTCTCTGATTAAGAAAAGAATGGGGTTTCTGATTTCCAATGAGAAGGAAACCTTTCATAAGTTCCCTTGGGGAAACGGTTGGAGCAGGTCTAAAATGAGAAGTGACCCCGTGAAGTCTCGGGCAAAGCTACAACATATACAATGATAATTAATTAGCTGAAATATTATATTCTCGAGGACAGAGAAGCAAAGAACTTGAAAAAGGGTTTGTACTCTTGAAACTTGAAAGCAAAACGAAAAACCCCTTTTTGTTGTATTATTTTTGTAGGTTACTGCTAGATGAACTCTTGTTCAGAGCTACTCTCACGCAATCGACTATCTGCACTGAAAGATTTTAATTTCATCTCGTTAATTCTGGATTTTAGTATACAAAACATGCTAGGAAGATGTTATGTTTTTTATACGGATGGAGTTGTGGATGAAAACTGTTGGATTGGTGAATGGATGAAATGAATTGGAGAAAAGAAAAAAGGGAAAATTCTGACAAGCATAGGCCAATGTTCTATGCGGTTGTATAAGACCATGCAGAGAGTTTGATGCCCGCAACTGTTATAAATATGTGACCTCATAGTTATAGCCTATACGGCCGCATGACCGTTTTGGTTTAAATTTGGTGGCCTTTCATCCCAATTTTGGCACCACTTCGTGTGAATTAATCAAGGCCTATATATAGGTGATCAAAGTTCAAGGCAAGAACAATAAAATTACATGAGAAAATCATTCCTGTTCATCCATAATTCTGTAGAATTTTTGCCTCTCTACATAATCAAACTCTTTTTTTTCATTTGTTTATTTGAAAAATACTTTTGCTTTTGGTGTTTTTTCATTAATGCTTGTTTAATCCTACGAACAATTTGTCGAAAAATCCTTAAAAGCATTGTAGAGGAGGCAAATATCGTTTGAGGACAACAATACATTCTCTGTGTTCAAGTCTTTGCCGGATCTCATGTTCATCTTCTTCTCCCTCTTTATTCTCCATTGCTATATTCATTCTTTACTAACAATATCAAACGATAGTCTCTTTTACTGCGATAGAGAAGGAATCTAAGCTGGCTACTATCAAAATGATGAATTGAAACCTAGTGTGTTTGGATAAATTTGATGGTGCCAACTTCACAAGATAGCAGGACAAACTAAAATTCCTTCTAACGGCATTAAAGATCTTGTATGTGCATGATCCAAAACTGAGTCAATTCTCGACGCAACTGACAAAGACACTGATGAAGTTCGTGCCAAAAGAAAGAAACAGGAAGAGGACAAATTAATATGTCGCAGCCACATTCTAAATGCACTATCAGATCGACTATATGATCTCTACACCTACACCACATCATTAAGGGAGATCTAGCACGCACTTGAAATTAAGTATAAGGCCGAGGAGGAAAGTACCAAGAAGTTTTTAATTTCCAAATATTTTGATTTCAAAATGATTGATAACATTCCTTTGTTGCCTCAAGTACATGAATTGCAAATAATTGTAAACAAATTGAAAGCAGTGAAGATCGAACCTCCCAAAACCTTTCAAGTGGGAGCAATCATTGCCAAACTCTCGGGATCTTGGAAAGGGTATAGGAAGAAGGTTTTTCGCAATTCTGAAATCTTCTCCTTAGAAGATATTCAAAAACATCTTCGAATAGAGAAAGAGTCAAGGGCAATGGATAAGACTGAAAGTTTTTATGATGGCTCTTTAAAAGCCAATGCCGTGGATAATGTGGAAAACTCCAACAAATTCAAAACAAAAGGAAAACCTCTTGGTCCCAAAAAAGGATCGAGGGAAGTTCAAAAAGAAGTCCAGGGACCTGGCTATGTTTGTGGAAAATCGAAACACTATGCTAGTGATTGCAGGCATAGAAAACAACAAAAGAAGGACGGACAAATAAATTCCATAAATGAGATTATCGCTATAGTGAGCGAAATCAGTGCAATCCAAGGAAAAATTTTGGGTGCGTGGTATGACACCTGTGCTACAATCCATGTTTGTTATGACAAATCTCTATTCAAAACATATTATGACATTGAAGGTGGTCAAAAATTTCAAATGGGAAATGAAGGAAGATCAAAAGTGATTGGAAAAAGCAACATGGAAATCATCTTTATTTCGGGAAAGAAGATCACTTTGACAAATGTCCTTCATGTATCAAAAATGAATAGAAACCTAGCAAGTGGAGTTCTATTGGAAATACCTGAAATTAAATCTACTTTTTGAATTTGGAAAACTTGTATTGAACCATTATTTACATTTTGTTAGAAATGGCTATTCCACTGAAAGAATGGTCAAATTATTTACTTTTAAGGATGAATCTAATAAAAACAAGTCTTTTGCTTAGGTCACTGATTCATTTAATTTATGGTATGGAAGACTAACACACATAGGAGTTAGTACTATGAAAAGAATGATTAAATGTGGATTAATGCAATGTAAAATTCATAACTTAGAAAAAAGTGAAACATGTATTACGTTAAAAATGATCAAAAAGTCATTTCATAGTGTAGTAAGATCAACAAACTTACTTGAACTTGTTCATTCCGATATATGTAAGTTGAATGGCATGTTAACTAGAGGTGGTAATAGATATTTTATTACTTTTATCTATAATTATTTTAGGTATACTTATATATATTTGCTAAAATATAAGGATGAAACCTTTAGTGCCTTTAAAACGTATAAAATTGAAATTGAAAATCAATTACAAATGAAACTAAAAACTCTAAGAAGTGATAGAGGTCTAGAGTACTTTTCTAATGAATCCAATATATTTTGTGAACAAAATAGAATAATACATCAATATTTTTAGCACCACGAACACCAGAACAAAATGGTCTAGCAAAAAGTAAGAATATAATATTTTTAAAGATGATATATTATTAAATTTTGAATTACCTTTCAATCTATGGGCTGAAGCCTTACTTAGTGTTTGTCATATAGTAAATAGGATTCCTATGAAAAAGAATAAAATCTTCTCATATGAGATATGGAAAGGTAGGAAACTGAATATTAACTATTTCAAAGTATGGGGGTTGTCTTGCTTATTGTAAAAATACAGATCCCAAGAGAACCAAGTTAGGTCCCAGAGGTATCAAATGTGACTTTGTAGGATATGTTCTGAATATCAAAACCTATATGTTATTAAACCTTGAATCGGATGTTATAATAGAATCAAGAGACGTGGAATTTTTCGAGAATATATTAGTAGCAAGGAAATCCCAAAAGAATGAAGATATTCCAAACTCTAGAGAGCCACAAGAAGAGACATCTAAAAGAGATGTTAAAAGTGAACCTCAAAGAAGTAAGAAAATTTGAAAAGAAAAAGGTCTAGGATCATATGAAATTGATTCCCAACTTATTTCTTTTTACTTAGTAGAAGGAGATAAGAACGATGTTGTAAGAACAATACATTTTGTTCTTCAAGTAGAAAGTGATCCTCAAACCTATAAAGAAGCAATGTCATCTAGAGATTGTATATTCTGGAAAAAGACAATAAATAATGAAATGAATTCCATTATTTCGAATAATACTTGGGAAATAGTTGGTCTACCTGAAGGTTTTAAGGCCATTGGTTGCAAGTGGGTATTTAGAAAGAAATATAATTTCGATGGAACACTCAACACCTACAAATCTAGATTAGTAGCTAAGGGGTATCATCAAAATGAAGAATGGATTACTTTGACACATATACACCCATGGCTATGATAAATTTGATAAGGATCGTGTTCATCAAATGAATGTCAAGACGGCATTTCTAAATGGAGATCTGGAATATGAGGTCTATATGGAATAACCAGAAGTGTTTGTTCTACCGAAAAATGAACATAAAGTGTACAAACTAATAAAATCTTTATATGGATTAAAACAAGCATCTAAAAAGTGGCATAAGAAATTTGACTCTAAAATAATGTCAAATGGTTTTGATCATAATTCCGTAGATAAATGTCTCTACACTAAATTAAATGATAGTGTAATCACTTTAATATGTCTATATGTTGATCATCAGTAACAATATAGATGAAATCAAAGAAACAAATAAATTTCTATCATCTATGTTTAAAATAAAAGATCTTGGACAAGTTAATACCATCCTTGGTATCAAATTCAAAAAGAATCGTGGGGGTTTTACATTGAGACAATCACATTATATTGAAAATGTGATAACTAAGGTCAAACACTTGAACATTAATGAAGTTAATACCCCATTCAATCCAAGTATCAAGATGATAAAAAAAGATGAAAAAGCAATAACTCAAATGGAATATGCAAGTGCAATTGAAAGTCTTATGTACGCGGCACAATGTACAAGACTTGATGTAGCATTTGTTGAAAGTAAACTAATTAGGTTTACTAGTAACCCAAGTTCCGTACATTGGAAAGCCATCGGTAGGTTTTTGGGTTACCTAAAGAAACCCAACCTTGGGCTGCAATATACAAAGTTTCCTAAAATTTTGTAAGGAAATACTGCCATAGTTGGATATCGAGTGCTAGAGAAAATAAGTCTACTTTAGGTTGGGTATTCACTATTGGATGAGGTGTAGTTTCTTGGAAGTTTAAGAAATAAACATGCATTACTATTCGACAATGAAATTAGAGTTTGTAGCATTGGCTGAAACTAGAAAAGAAGATGAATGGCTAAGAGAATTTTTGTATGAAATGCCTTTAGATATAAAGAATATTTCTTTCATTCCTATCTTATGTGATAGTCAAGCTACTCTTGCTTGAACATATAATGAAGTATATAATGGAAAGCCTAAACATATGA